TGACATACTTCATTATGTTTTGCCTTTCTCCCACAACTAATATATTGACTGGGGAGGTATAAATATTTTGCCCATTTGACTTTTTTTTGGTAATTGTAGGGTGTTTTAGGATGATTTAGGATGTCTTTGAATGCCATTTGCGCCATGCCCTCGGGCTTTTTTGCTTTAGCTATTATTCAGGTAGGGTTCATGTTTTTGCCCTAGGATCCTCCTACCTATAGCCTCCGTGGGATCACAAGTGTGTATCACCATACATGCCTTGTAGATTGAGATGGAGGTCTTGCTAACTTTTTGCCTGGGCTGACCTTGAACCATGATGTTCCTGATGTCTGCCTTCTGAGTAGCTGGTATTACAGGAGTGAACCACCATGCTTGTCTGGATAGTACTTTTGAATTTAATTTAAGAAGTGCTTTTCTCTCCTAAAATCATTGATATGATTTTCCTATAATGTCTTATAGGTACTATAATTTTCTGTCTTTCACATTTCTACCTGGAATTGATTTTTATGATTCTTGTGAGATAGGAATCAGGGTTTCATTGTTTACACATGAACACAAATTGACTTAGCATCACTTGTTGAAGCAATAATTCTTTTACTCTCTGCTGTGTAGTGCCAACTTTGTCATGAGTCAAGACCCGGATGTGTACCTGTCTCTGGCTCTTCTCTTGTCCATTGGGCTATTTGTCTCACCTTGTGATTACAACTATAATTGTGTCATTATAACTATAATTTTATTATAGTTTCATAATAAATCCTGTTGCTCAGTAAAGCAGTATTTTTCATTTACCGCCTAAGGAGATGTCTTAGATATTTTCTCCTTTTCCTCCTCCCCATTGAATTTGAATACCTATGAATAAGATTTTGTCAGGCAGAGCCCCAAGCCATTGTTAAGAGCTACATTTTTTTTCCTACTTATGGGTGACATTGACCCTGTTGAAAATGCACTAGAACAGACCCACCCTCCCACCTTGTTCTTTTCATATACCAGTGTTGTGCTATTCTTTGTGTTTGTTTTTTCTTTTTTCTTATGGTATTTAGAAACAGCTTAGCAATTTCTAGAAAGTAAAACAAAAACTCTTGCCAGTATAGCATGCTCTGTACCATTGTGGGAATCTTTTTAAGATTATATGAATTACATAGTTCAGTTTGGATAGTTGGCATCTTTACGTGAATTGCGTTTTCTAATCCACAAACATAATATTGATTCAAGAATAAATTGGGCAGGATATTGGTGGCTTATGCCTGTAATCCTAGCTACTTGGGAGGCTGAGATCAGGAAGATCACTGTTCAAAGCCAGCCTGGGCAAATAGTTCATGAGACCTCCTCTCCAAAATAACCAGAGCAAGATGAACTGGAGGTGTGGTTCTAGCAGTACAGCGCCTACTTTGCTTTGCAGGTGCAAAGCTCTAAGTTCAAACCCCAGTCCCAAAGGGAAAAAAGAATAAATTGATAACATATTTAGTCTTGTAATCATGAGTAGTTAATATTTTTCAGTGAATGTTCACAGGTGGATTTTTAGCTCTGTCAAATATGAAGGGAAACAATAATTTCACTCACACAAATTCTTTCAAAGAATAGAAAAAGAGGGTGGGAGGTGGCCCAAAAAATGTAGACACATGTAAGTAAATGTAAAAATGATAAATAAATAAATAAATAAATAAATAAATCTTCTTTGGAAAAAGAAAATAGAAAAAGAGGAAATTCCCTCAATTAATTTTATGTGCATAGCCTATCACAGATACATTTCTTATCAAGGAAAAGAAATAAAATTATGTAGTCTGATTATGAACAAAGATGAACAACTCCTAAACAAAATCTTAGCAGTCTGAAGCAGCTTATATATAATCAGCCTGACCAAGCTGAGCTTATTCTAGGAAGGAAAGGTGGTTTTTGCATTTGAAATTCAGCCACCATACTTGTCATATTAACAGATTAGATCAAAACACTTCCCCCCTGCATTACTGGACCTTGAACTCAGGACCTAGGCAGTCACTCTGTTATTTGAGTCATACTCCTGGCCCTTCAGATGAAAATGTTCAAGTGAGCATCTCAATATATGAAGACAAATACACATTGAATGATATTCATTATGAACTCTTTGCAAACTACAACTAGATGAGAACTTCTTTAATCAGATATAAGATAAAAGGTTTTCAACCCCTCCCAATCCAAAACAAAACAAAAACAAACAAAAAACTAAAGACCCTCAACCAAGTATGTAAGGATGACATGTTGACTTCTTCCCCTTTGAGTTGGAGGACAACGCATCTAGCTAGGCAGCAGGGCAGGAGAAAAAAAGAGAAGGTATAACTGCTGAAAGAAATAAAATTGTCATTTCTTATAATGACATAACTGTAAATAATTTGTAGATTCTTTAGATTTTAAAGACAGCTTAAAATTGTGACTTTAAAATTATTTTAAAAAATTAATTATATTTCTGTATATTAGGAACCTTTAGTAAGTGAAATTTGTAGCAAATGTCATTAAGAATAGACTAAAGAACCCCAAGAAGTTGTTGAATTAAATCTGACAAAAAAGCATAAGACCTCCAGGGGGAAGCTTAATTATATGTATGTCTGTCTGAGCCTGTGTCATAACTTGAAAATCCAACTTGAAGGCTGGGTGCAATGGCTCACATCTGTAATCCTGTTCAGGGGGTGGAGATCTAGAGGATCATGGTTTGAGTCCAAATCAAGTCTGTGTATACATGCATGTACACACTTGATCACTGAGGAAAATACTTTAAAGTAAATCATCCTGGGCCTGAGTATCCATATAGTATAGTAAAAGTAAATTCAGATTCCTATCTTTCACTGTGCACCAAAAAAAAAAAAAGAATAAATAAAAAAATAAAGCATCAATACTCCAGGTATTTAATGACCTAAATGTAAAAGGCAAAACCTACGGAGCTTTTAAAGGTTTTCATTCTGAGTGAGGTTAGCCTGGCTCAAAAGACCAAAAATCGTATGTTCTCCCTCATATGTGGACATTAGATCAAGGGCAAACACAACAAGGGGATTGGACTATGAGCACATGATAAAAGCGAGAGCACACAAGGGAGGGGTGAGGATAGGTAAGACACCTAAAAAACTAGCTAGCATTTGTTGCCCTTAATGCAGAGAAACTAAAGCAGATACCTTAAAGCAACTGAGGCCAATAGGAAAAGGACCAGGAACTAGAGAAAAGGTTAGATTAAAAAGAATTAACCTAGAAGGTAACAACCACGCACAGGAAATCAATGTGAGTCAATGCCCTGTATAGCTATCCTTATCTCAACCAGCAAAACCCCTTGTTCCTTCCTATTATTGCTTATACTCTCTCTACAACAAAATTAGAGATAAGGGCAAAATAGTTTCTGCTGGGTATTGAGGGGGGGAGCGGGAGGGGGTGGAGTGGGTGGTAAGGGAGGGGGTGGGGGCAGGGGGGAGAAATAAACCAAGCCTTGTATGCACATATGAATAATAAAAGAAAAATGAAAAAAAAAAAAAGGTTTTGGAAGATAATATAGGAATAATAATAATATTGTTACTCAGGGTTGAAAAAGATTTCTTGGATGTAAAAAGCACAAAGGGAAATGATAAATTGGATTACATTTATGTTAAAGACTTAGATTTACTGTGGATATCTTAAAGAGAGTGAAAAGGAAGTCTCAGAATGAGAGAAGACATTTGCGATATGCAGATGAAGCACGGTGGTGTCCAAAGTGCAGACCGTAGGGGTCAGGGTGGAGATTGTGGTGGGGAAGGAATGCATGGGAGGTGGGTGTGCTTTCAGTTCTTCGTTCTTGGAAAGATGGTATTACTTTTCTGCAAACTGAACTTAAGTTTTATGCATGTGTATGTAAGCACATTTCTTAACAAAAGTAGGGAGAAATGGAAATAAAAGATCATCGTTGATTATACTAGTTTGCTAGGGCTGCCATAAAAAATACCAAAGACTGGGTGACTAAACAAAAATTCATTTCCCCCTGGTTCTGATGGCTGCAAGTCCAAGATTCTGGTGTCACCTTGTACCTTTTCCCTTGGTTTGCGAAAGGCCACCTACTCGCTATGTCCCCACATAGCCTTTCCTCTGTATGGGCGTGTCCCTAGTGTTTCTTTGTGTGGCCAGATTTCGTCTTAGAAGAACACCAGCCAGAGTGAGTGAATGTCCACTCTAATGGTCTCATTTTAATCTGGTCTCTGTTTTAAAGGCCCTGTCTCCAGTGTGCATAGCAAATATCCTCGCATTCTGAGATACTGGGCAGGGGATCAGGGCTTCAACACAAGATGTTTGGGTGAACACATTCAGCTCAGCGCATTGGCTATGCAGTAAACATCATAAATACCAAATGGGTTCTTATGATTTTGGTAATATTTCCTAAGCTAATTTTTGAATTAAAATAGTACTATAAAAAAGATCTGAGACAGAAGTAAAGATATGCTCTGGAGAACAGTGTTAAATGACTCAAAATACAGATTTAGTATTGGTGTTACTTATGCATGTGTGAACTTGGAATACAGTTGGTTTTTGAAAATGTAGAAATGATAAAAAGCAATGTCTAGATTATGGATTTTTACCATTTTATATAAGTACTTTATATAGCCAAATGAATAAAAGTAATTTTATAAGTAGACATTTTAGTCTTACTGCCATCCCTGACATAAATTTGTTCTTGACCTAAAAATAAAACAAATTGTTCTTGGTAAAACAAGTTTTTCAATGGGAGGAAAGAGAATGATTTTATTTGGGCAAAAATGGTAATTTTAGTATGGTAAGTTCTTCTATAATATAGTATGTACATCTGTAAAAATCACTCCACTTGTATAAAAACCTGCCATAAATACTACAGGACACATGGGAAAATGAAGGTACAGCTCTCAAAAACATTGTCAGTGACACTTAAAATAATAAGAACCTAAAAAAAATAGCAGATGTGTTATGCTCCAATCTCGAGTATTGTAGAAGCAATAAACAACTCTTCAATTGTTTTTAAGACTTTTTCTTTTTCTTTGTAGGACCTCTTTATTGTTAGACATGAATTGGCTATAATGAGATTTGCTACATTGTTGGGCATTACTATGTTAGTTGGAATAACTGGGCTCTTTTATACCCAACTAATTGGCATCATCACAGTAAGTATATTATACATATTTTTCTTTTTTATTAGCATATATCAATTGTACAAAGGGGTTTCATTGTGATGTTTCCATACATATAAATAACATGCTTTGATCAAATTCACCCCCTCTATTACTCTTTCCATATAAGTATATATTTAATGTAAAGTGACACATGTGTGAACATAATACTGAGTTATGGACTGAATTCTAAAAAATTATAGAACATTTAGTAATCAAAGAGAAAAATGACCCATAATCTTTAATATATTTCCATTCACATATGCCTGTGTAATTTTAGTAATTTTGAAGTAGCTATAATTAGGTACACGGTATATATACAATTTTGTATCTTTTTTACATTAATAGTATTTTTATATGGCTATAGATATTCTGTTCATAGTTTTTAATAATTGCATGTACTCTTTTAATTAACTACTTTAATTAACTTTTCCTGCTGATTAGCATATAATATACTGTCATTTTTTTGTATATAACAAATAACACTAATTCAGTGTCTCCTTTTTCTCTTTAAACTATTTATTTAGGATTAACTCCCCAAAATAGAGTTACTAGCACAAATACGTCATTAGTAATTCTTTTTTTGCATATATTTATTGCTTATTGGTTTGCAAACTGACTTAACAAGTGATTATCATTTATTATTGCCTAGTATATCTGAAAGACTGACTGATGGTTCCTCATTTTATATTTGATATGGGAAAGTACTGAAACAATAAAATGTCTATTTTTTATGTTTTTACATGAAAAATATAAGCAATATTTACATATTTTTATCTCTTTTTCATTATTACCTACATTGGACTTAGTCCTTTTTTTTCACACCACCTAAGTAGAACAATTACATCAAACACCTGGAGGGTTATCATGTTAGGTACTAGTCCCTGCATAGGTCCTTTTATTTCAGGAGTTTCACAGGTCAGTTTGAGATTATAGAGGTAGAAATAATGAGAGGTAAGGTTGAAAAATACATTATAATACCAGTCTTCATAGTTACAATGGTCAGATCCCTTTCTCACAACAAAAAGGTTTTTTAAAGTGAGAAAAATTGTATTAAGTAGAGATTGAAAAGTTAACACTCTATTGCAGAAAATGTAGGGTAGGCAAATAGGCTTTTTGTGCATTATGGTGGAAGTGTAAATTGGTATAACTTTGTTGGGGGCAAATCATTCAAAATTTTAAATGCACAGCAATTTTGACCAGCTGCTACAAAGTTATGTCATAGAGGATTGTTGAATGTGTATAAACATGGATGCTAGAAAGGATTCCAGCATTATATTATGTATAATATATATATTATTTATAAAAATTAAGTGTTTACCAGAATATATATAGTAAAAATACATATAGTAAGAGAAATGCATTAAAAATACTATAAAACAACAATAATCAAAAAAGTATGGTACTGGCATACTGATAAATAAATAAAATAGAATTGAGAGTCCAGAAATAGGCAGTCATCTCTTGCCTATCCATGGGTGATTTGTTCCAGGACGCCCATGGATACTGCAGTCTGCAATGGATGCTCAAGTCCCTTATGTAAAGTGGCATAGTATTTGTGCACACATGCCATGCTATACTTTAAATCATCTCAAATTACTTACAATACCTAGTACAATATAAATGTTAGATAATTAATTGCTACACTGTATTGTTTAGGGAATGATGACAAGGAAAAATTGTCCGTATACTGTGTTTGTATGTATGGCCAGTTGGTTTTCAACAAAAGTGCCATTCTTTTCTCAGTGGAGAAAAGAACAGTCTCTTCAATAAATGGTGCTGGGACAAGTAGATTTCTACATGCAAAAGAGTGAAGTTGTACCCCTAGTTCATAGTATATGCAAAAAGTTAACTCAAAATGAATAATAATGCTAAATGTAAAAGCCAGAACAATAACTCTTAGAAGAAAACATAACTTTGGTGACCTCGTATTAGGCAATGATAATATCTTAAATATGACACCAACAGCATGAAACTACCAAGGAAAAAATTGATAAAATTTTTTGACTTTTATCAAAATCACAAACTTTTGTTCTTCAAAGGTCATTATCAAGAAAGTTTATAAAATACATCCGAAAGAATAGGGAAAATACGCAAATCATGTATCTGACCAGGGTCTTGTATCTAGAATATGTAAAGAACTTTTTAATTCAATAATTTAAAAATACAATTAAAATATAGTGGAAGGATTTATCCAAAGATAGACAAATGGACAATAAGCTCATAAAAAGATACTGAACTTTATTAGTCATCAGGAAAATGCAAATCAAAACCATCATGACATACTACTTCAAAGCCAGTGGCGTGCAACTGGTGATGTACCTCAGTGGCACAGCACTTGTTTCCATGTGCAAGGCCCTGGGTTCAATCCTAGTATCATAATAACAAAACACTAGAGTGGCTATAATAAAAAAGAGCAGATAGTAACAGTCACTGGTAAGGTTGTAGAGGAATCAGAACCCTCATCCACTACTAGTGGGAATGTAAAATGGTACAGCCACTTGAAAAAAACAGTACATTTTGATAGTAATTTAAAAAGTTAAACATAGAGTTACCACTAGATGCAACAATTCCACTCCTATGTCCACACAAAAGTCTGTACATGTATATTTATAGAAGTATTATTCATAGTAACTTAAAGTTGAAACCAATCTAATTATCAAGCAATTATTGAATGGATACACCAAGTGTGGTATATCCATACAATAGAATATTATTGTCAATGAAAATATGGAAAGAAATGAAGTAGTGATACACACTACAACATGAATGAAATTTGAAAATGTTACACTAACTGAAACAAGACCATATATTCCACTTATATGAAATGAAGTATGCAGAACAGACAAAACTATAGAGTCAAAGAAAAAGATTAGTGGTTTCCTAGAGCTGAGGGACTTAGAATGTTAGCTCAAACGTATAGGGTGTCTTTTATGGGGTGAGGAACATGTTCTAGGAGTGAAATTACTGGTTCACATAAGGTCAGATTTTCTTTTATAGGAAACTGTCAGGCCTTTCATTTGAATGATTCTGCCATTTTGCATTCCTGCCAACAGTGTGTGAGAATTTGCTTATATCCTCTTTGTCATTTGTTGTTGCCAGCCTTTTTAATTGTAGCTATTCTGGTGGTTTTTAATAATATCTTATTTTAATTTGCATTTTCCTGATGACTAATGATGCTGAACACATTTTCATATGCTTACTGGTTGCTCATGGATCTTTGTGCAATGTCTGTTTGAATATGTATTTTTTATTATTCCATCTGAGGTATTTTCTAATATCCCTAGTGATTCCTCTAATGATGATGCCGGTAAATACCGTGGTGTTAGTAACAATGCCAAGGATGAAAGTAAGCTTTTCTCTGAAATCTTTCTCTCTACTTTTTTTGCTCATACCTAATTACTTCATAATAATGAACTTCTCATAAGTCATGTCAAAGTTGCCAGGTTATATGTGCATCTTTTGAATTTCCGGTTTTGAATTTTCCAAAATCATTGGTAGGTGCTATGTCTGTCTAATAGGATTTTTCAGATTTCCTCAAGTCCTTACTATCAATGGCTGGAAGTGGACATTTCAGAACACTGCACCTAAGAGTACATGTTATAGTGGGGGCTAGCAGAGGTTTATTGCTGACTGTAACAATTTCCTTCCACCTAGCAGCCCCACTCATCTCAAAGAGAGGGGTTTAACAGCAAAGATTTTGAACTATTTTAAGGATCCCACTTGAAAATTTTAGCATTGTCTTCTGGGTTGTACATAATAAGTAAATGATTTATTATTTTTGTTGGTTCTGAGAGGATGTTTATCAGGTTCTATTCTGACTCTATTGCATTCTGCCAACACAATAATACTAATTCTCAGATTGCACAATTTCCTTTTTTATTGTAACATTGAGCAACATTTCCTTGTACAATGTAGGGAGACTCAATTATGCTGTGATATTTCTAATACTAAGTAGAAAGCACATTTGTTAAATAGTGTTTTCTCCAAAAGTTTCTCTGCTTCCTGCATATATAAAGTACTTGCTCAGAGCACTGGCGGGCAGAGCTATATGTGTAGAATTTGTTTATCTGAGAAACATTCAAAAAAGAATGCAAGTACTGAGAGAGGAAGAGAGTATATTTGTTAGTCTGATCTGTAGTCACTGTACTTCCTCTTGAGTTAAACCATAAATTACAGTACATCTTAATTCCATTTGCCTGAACTTTCATAGTGAGCCTTAAGCATTATTCTTTTTGGATTTAAAAATAAATTGTTCCCAGAGTGTACTCTTCCCACATTGATTCAAAGTTCTTTAAGACTTAAATTATTTAAAATTGCTATGTATTCACTGTTTAATTTTTTAAAATCGAATGAACTATCAGCGTCTAAATAAAAGAGTGTTTAATATTTTAAAGTTAAAAATATAGATTATGCTTACTTTGTAAAATATATTTCCTGTTTCATTTTATGATACAGAAAAGTAATGATATAATATGATACAAAAACTTACAATAATACAACTACTGAGATTACCTATAGGAAGTTTCATGTCTGGACATGTTTTTGTCATGATCTGCATCCAATGATGTCGCTTTACAATGTGAGAGAAGTGATGAATTTGTCAGACAGTATAAGAAAGAAGTGGGAGAAAGAATCACAATTAAATTTAATCATTCCACTAAAGTCTTCCTCCTTTCCCTACCCCTGAATCACAAAGATCCAAGAACATTTTGGAAAACATGGTCCGGGGTATCATTTTGTTACGTACACTGGTAGCCTGAATGTATGCCTGTTAATAAGCAAGCAAGCAAAACAAATAAACACTGACTCTTTTTAGGTTAGTTTGAGGTTTCAGGGAAGTAGCATGTCAGTTTTCTGGAGTTTTCTCCTGTTACTCATTTTAACTGAGAATAAATAAATCATTTATCTCCTGTATAAGAAAAATCCCATCTCCTATTGATAGTAGAAGGTAACAGGATAATCATTGCAATGATAATCTCATGTCATTTTAG